CTTCACTGGGCACATTGTATCCCCATTTTAGGTATTCCAATCAGTCACAGGCAGAAGATGGACTTACAAGCTTTCTATGGTGATGTTTCTGGCTATTCCTTTCTCTCCACACACACACACACACACACACACACACACCCCGCCGCCAGTGTCTAGTTTATAATATAATGCAAGGAAAATCAAGATTCAAAAGACAGCCAAGGATCTTAACATTTCCCCATTCCCCATTCCAACCATGTCTCAATCTCTGTATCCCAGAGCCTTGTTGTTCCAAGGCTGTGCATACATCACTATTTACCTCTGTCCCATTTAGCCCATGCAAACCTGCCTAATTGTTCTCCCATCTGTTCTGTTCTTCCATCCCCCTTGTCATTCTTGTATATTGCCTCCCTCCCCAGCACCCAAACTATCCTGTGTCTATTCCCTGCCCTGTGCTCCACCTTCCCTTCACTCCCCTCACCACCCCCCCATCCCAGCAGCCAGCAATGAATCCACCCCCCTTTAGTATGGGTTCTTTGTCACATGATCTATTTTTAAGAAGCTAATGCTTTGTATTTTAAATGAACAAAAACCTTGAAATTAAAAAGCACAAAATGAAAAGATAAAAATCAGCTCTGATCCCATAATTTGGAGATCAGTGTAAACATTGCCGCTGAAGCTTAGAGAGTTTGTGTGACTTGGCTGGGATACTGCAGTCAGAGAACATTTTTGAGCTGCATTGTATGATACAGATCTTGAGACTTCATGTACTTCTGGATGAGCTTCCAATATCTCCCTTCTTCTCCTTCAGTCTCTGTAGAGGATGAAAGGTGCTCTTAGCTCTTACCTTTTTGTATATTATTTTTGTTGCTGTGTGCCATTGAGTGAGTGCCAATGGCGCTGACAGTGACCCTATACAAGGTTTCTAAGGAGCAGCTAATGAGTTTGAACTGCCAACCTTGTGGTTAGCAATCTAGTGCTTATCTTACAGTGCCACACCAGAACTAACTTTTATATGTAACTAATCCTTTATATCCAATCGTTTAATATAAATTGATCTGTATTAGTGTAAATTTTCAGAAAAAATAACTCTTAAAACAGACACTTGGAGAATTGCCTTAATGATCTTAGAATTGGTAAATTCACTCTACTCACACTTGGCCATCTTTCCTTCTCCCTGGTTCTTATTTTGGACTCATCAAATTATTACCCTGTCCTCTTTCCTAATCTTCTCGTCTGTAAGTTCTTCCTTGCACTCCTTTCTACAGCCACAGTGGAAACAACTTAAAGACGCTCTCAATAGAATTCTTTCCCCTGGTGTTCAGCACCCAGAGAGGCTCTTTTGATGTCTATTTTGGTCTTTTCTTCTTTCTTGTCTTCTTAATGACCTTTTGCTTTCTTTCTGCATGATATTATTGGTATAATTCCACACTCCTCTGGTCTTTAGTCTTTTGTGTCTAATACATCAAATCTGTTCTTCATCTATGCCAAGAAATTTTGAAGACAGCTACCTGGACAACTGATTGGAGTGGATCCACATTTGTACCCATTCCAAAGGAGGTGATCCAACAGAATGCACACATATAAGCAGATTGAAAGAGATCCATATTTGTGCCCAAAAAGAGAGGTGACCCAATGGAATGCGGAAATCATTGGACAATCTGATATCCCACGCGAGTAAAGTTTTGCTAAAGATAATACAGAAATGGCTACAATCGTTCATTGACAGAGAACTTCCAGAGGTTCAAGCCAGATTCAGAAGAGGACATGGAACAAGGGATATCATTGCTGATGTCCGATGGATCTTGTCTGAAAGCAGAGAATATCAGAAAGATGTTTACCTGTGCTTTATTGACTACACAAAGGCTTTCAATTGTGTGGATCATGACAAGCTATGGAAAACATTGTGAAATTGAATATTCCGGACCACTGAATTGTGCTCATGAGATATTGTACGGGAACCAAGAAGCAGTTGTTCGAACAGAACATAGGAACACTGAATGGTTTAAAATTAAGAAAGATGTGCGACAAGGTTGTATTCTTTCACCATACTTGTTCAACCTGTATGCTGAGCAAATAATCTGAGAAGCTGGGTTCT